ATCTTCAGGAAGACTGTTCCAGATTTTAGCAGCATGAATCTGAAAAGCAGCCTCCCCATGTTTAGTTCTGACTCTGGGCACTAACAGGAGTCCAGTCCCTGTGCTCCTCAGAGTCCGGGCTGGTTCATATGGGACTAACATGTCACTAATATATTTTGGTGCGAGGCCATGGAGAGACTTGTACACAAGCAGAGCTGTTTTAAAGTCTATTCTCTGAGCCACAGGAAGCCAGTGCAGAGACCTGAGGACTGGACTAATGTGGTCGTACTTCCTGGTTCTAGTCAGGACTCGAGCTGCTGCATTTTAAATGTACTGCAGCTGTTTTACAGCCTGTTTGGACAGACCTGTGAGCAGGCCATTGCAGTAGTCTAACCTACTGGAGACAAATGCATGGATAAGTAGGTTAGACTACTGCAGACATCTCCAGGTCTGCTTAAACACACTGTAGTTGACGGCCAGTTTCTGTCGATGTACGCGCTGTTATTCCCAAGACTGGCCTGCTACTAGGAGTTGCCCATTTTCGCCAGATTGTCGATGTGTGCGACGGATATAGTCAGTTGCTAGTCCGATGTACGCTAGGCATGAGAGTTCAAATGCCTTGTATTGTCTTTATATTTAATAAAGGTGTATACCAAACATTGAAATGCGCATGTCTGTAAGCTGAGAAGCATTGCTTCCTTCCTCACACCTTAACCTGATTTATTGAAAGGATCTGATGGTCGGGCTGCTACAGTCTGATATGTAAGCCAGAAATATTCCAGCTCCCACCCATTTCCTTTAATTCACAAGCACTTCACTGCAGGGAAGTCAAAGAGGACTAAAAAGTGTTACATGACTTCCCAGTCTAATCCCTGATGTGTTCCACTGATTAGAACCTGGACAAGAGTTCAAAACCCCCATCTCATACACACCATTTAGTAAAACATAATTCATGCCTTTAGGCCAGTAATCAAATGCTTGGCTTGCTGCAAACCTACGAGACATTACACCCAGGCAAAATGGCCAAACTAATTTCCTAGTGAGATCCGGTATTTGTTTGCCTTGGCTGTTGGAGCCTTTGTAAATGTGAATTAGATGTGATTTGGTTCTAGATATCCTTGCATTTGGATCCTTTTGAACCTCAACATATCAACCCAGCAACTACAAAAAATCTAGCACATTATTCTCCTAACAATATGTGGCAAATAGCAATATGGCAGGATAGCTGATTCAATTGTGAGCTTTTAGCTGTGCCATGTGAGTCTGGATCTTTTCTCAGTTATTCAAACGGAGTATCAAGGCCAGGCAGCGGGTTGTTGCCAGTCTTATGTGCACGTACTGTATGTCAACTGTGGGTCCACCAAGTCTGGCACACGAATGAACATAATGAACGTGCAAATGTTATACCAAATGACTCTGGGGTCCACTAACTGCTCACAGAGATGGCCTGCCCTATCTGGGGAAACCATTAACTCCAAATATGTGCCTACTTCAACTTTGAGTTGTAGTCGGAGTGGGTTTTGAAAACATGAGAGCAGGCGCCATGTTATTTTGGTTCCCCTTTATAGCTTTATGGTCTCACAGTGATTGCAAAGTGTGATTTTTATTATCATTAGTCATTTTTTCCATTTGTTTGGTCACTTTGATTGATGCGAAGGGACCAAACAATGCTATCCTGTGACAAGACCAAGATACAGTACACTACAGTACACTACAGTACTTACAAACCGAACTAGCTCAAAAGAAGTAATTTTTGTTTACATTTGGCTCCACTTGAATACAATCGGCAGGTTTTTATGTTGTAATGATACACTTAACCAAGAGCTGAAAACTCAGCTGATAGACGTTATTGTTTTTAAAGAACTCTGGTAAATCCAGTCTCTTTTGACAATAAACGTGTGTCCCATCTCTGCAAGTACTTGAAGGAGTCAAACTAATAAGTTCATAACCTCTGTCCTGTGTATTTCCCTATATTTCCTCAGGTTGTGCCACACTGCTGTTCACATAAACACGCCGGAAAGTAGAAATGTGTTTTTTGTCATCAGCTTTTGAGATCAATAGCTGATAGATAGCTGGAATCACTGCTAAAAAAAAGAATTAAATCAAAGTGGAGCAATTAAACAACTGAAAACATGAATCTACATACAGTTAGATTGATTACACAAGTTGACAGCCAAAAAATGGTCAGGGGTTTCTCAACTGATTTAGACTAATTTTGGTGTTCTGAGTCCGAATATCACATGCATTTTGCTCTATCAGGTCAACTTTTTGAGATACAGCCATAGTGTTACGGATTACGTACGGCTACGTTATTATGAATTCTGCTTATCAAATTTGATGGAGTAAATAAAAATTGAATGACTTTGGATACGTTCACTTTTATTTCTTGAGGAAAACGGAAAAAACGTCAAGGGTTTCTCAGCTGAGGATCCGCAGAAATTTGTTTTTTACGCAAAATCAATTTAAAAAAATATTTCTGTAGCAAAAAATCCTGACCTGATTGAGCAAAACCAAGGTCATTTTCGGACACAGAGCATCAGAATTAGTGTAATTCAGCTGGAAAACCCTGGACTATTTTCAATTTTACCCAGTGTTATAGCTGAGAGTTCCTTACAATCTTATTCACAAAAATCCCCATTGGAAAACCTTATTAATGAAATGTCTTTTGCCTTGAGCTAAACTAACACACCAGAACCATTAACTCCTAATGCAAATGCTCCAAACCATTCCCCACATGTATGATTCTGTAAGTGTGCATACATTTGACTAAGAAAATTAAACACAGCTATTTAATGATGTCTCAAAGGGAAAATCCCATCCTGGACCTTCAGACGAGGTCTATGAGGAGTGCAGATGCAAGCTCTACTGAAAATAAACAGAAAGGAGACCAGAGACTCAATCAGCTCTGTACATGTTTAGTGCGGCCCAAACGGCGGCTGATGAACTTACTATATTGAAGTTCAAAAGCACTGTGAGGCTGTGCTTTAAGAGAAGTTACAATTGGAAACATCCTTAAACATTAGAGATACTTTGAAAGTCCATATCCATATTGTTCCTTTGTACCAGCTAAAGCCTGTTTCCCATTTAAACCAACAACATTATATAAAACTTTGCAAACCTTTCATTTGAAACATACTGCATCCAACCAAAACAATATGGAAGTGATCCGCATGCTGTAAATCTTAAACTTGTAGCCACAGTGACGCAGGAAATCTATTGAACACAATGTGCACAGTTCAAGTTTGATTGAATGATGGCAAGTTGACGAGAAAAATAGCTGACACCTTTTGCTAATGACGTCTGGATTCAAAGTGAACTGATAATCAATGACATCTACCACACTGTTCTTACTTCTTTATGGCCATAGGTGACATGCACAAACTGGATATGCCTTAGTTCAGAGGAATGAAGGTTTGGTAGAATATACTATTAAATATCAAAACAAAAGTCCTGCTCTAGGAATATAATAATAGGAAAGTGTTCATGGGCAAAGTTTTGCTCCTTCTTGCTTATTTTGCTCTGTAAACTGTGTCACTCTCACCATTATGTTGCTCTCGAGAGGCACAAGCAAAAGAAGATCATTGCTGCTCCTGATTGGCTCTTTTGTTGCTGGGTTGTTGCTATAAATTTCCCTCCAGATTCCTGCCCCGGGGAGTCTGTTGTACGAGTGGGTGACGTCAGCACACACACACAAACATAACTTTATATAATCCATAAGCCATGCCTCCACTGAAACAAACCAGAGAAAAGCCTGACCATGATTTTAA